CACACACACACACACACACACACACACACACACACACACACACACACACACACACACACACACCACAGCTGAGGCCTATTGGCTGTGGGCTTCGGGTCCTGAGAACCAGGCTGGGTGGCCCAACTCAGGACCCTGCTCCAGTGCACCCCAGGCCCAATGACTTCATGTCTCTGAGCTCAGTCCCCTTCTGTGAGATGCCACCCACCATGGTCTGGCCCAGGGTTGCTGCTGGCGTCTGAGCCATGCTCGGCAGGTAGCCAGGACCAAGTCCTCACAGCCGGGGCTCGGCAGCTGTTGCAGATCTGCATGGGGGCAGGTGTGCGCTGGGCAAGGATCCAGGATGCCCTTGCTCTGGGGCAGACGCCAAAGCAGGGGAAGCTTTCGCCCAGATCCCCCTGGGCCCAAGGCCGCACGCCTGGCATCTGACAGCCCTGCCGCCCACGTCAGTTACAGCACTCACAGCTGCCTGCTGCTGCTTCCCCTCCACAGCAGAGGAAAGAGCTGCCTGGCTGCCGAGCTGCCCCTGTCCCGCTGCCTCAGGCCACAGCTGACTCTGAGGACACTGGGCCCCCCACCCCAGGGCGAGGCAGATGACCAGCCGGCTGGGGGCACATCCACAATCGGGAGCACAGAACAAGGAAGAGGCACCCCGCTCCCGCGGGAGCCCGATATTTATTTACCAACAGGTGTTTTGTGCCAGGCCCTGTGCACACCCTCCCAAGCAGTCCTTACGAGAGGGTGCAGTTATACCAAAACTTGGTGGCTTAGAACACCGGGAAACAAGGATGAACTCACCCCGTTTCTGTGGGTCGGCCGGCTCCCTCCTGCAAGTGCAGGAAGGTTTCGTGGGAGCTGGGGAGCCCCCACCCAGGCAGCAAGGGACCAGGGCAGCCCTGTGGTGTGTTCATGACAGAGCCTTGGAGACACACAGGACCAAGGCCGCCTGGACTCCAGGAGAAGCAGCAGCCACCCCACCTTTCGAGGGGAGGGGCGGCCAAGAACTCTAGGGCTGTGATTTAAAGCTGCCGCGTCCCCAGGTGACAGCAGGGGCTCACGGGCAGGCTGAGGAGACTGTCCAGTGAGAACTGGGCCAGGCGTCCGCCTGACTCTGGACCACTGCTTAAGTCAGTGACCATTGCAGGGTTTTGCAAATCCCAAACCCACCCTCCGAGAATGGGTGCTGCTCCGAGCAGTGTGCTGCAGGCAACTTCTAAAGACAATCAGGCCCAGGTGCCTCTGTGGGGGCCCCAGGCCACAGCGCACCTTCTGGGTCCACCTGCTGAGGACCCCACGTGTGGTGCTGAAGAGCTGGGGGCTGGCCGGCCGCCGGGGTTTCAGCCCAGCCCTTCCTGGGCTTCCCTCCCTGGGATCCCATCTGGATTCCAGAGCCCTTGATGGAGGACCTTGTACTGAAAGGTACAAGGACTTGTACCTCCAGGAATTGCAAGAGGCTGGCGGGTCCTGCTTCTACCACTGGCCAGCTGTATGACCCTGGGCAAGTCACTTAACTGTTCTGAGCCTTGCTTTTCTTGTCTGTGAACTGGGAGTATTTGCCATCCTTCTGGGCCAGAATCTTCGGGTGGCAAGGGACAGAAGCCCCACCCCCAGCCCCAGGTGGCCTGAGCAGAAAGGGAAGAGC